TATACAAAAATAAATAAATAAATAGATATTCCCAACAAGGTAAAACAAATTTTAAGTGTGGGGGTGGGGTACCCTGGGCACAAAAAGGTTGACAAACTCTGATAAAAGGTAGAGTATAGCAGCAAAATCAAGCTATCACTCCAACAATCCCATAAGACTTGAAGGCCCCTGTATACCAATGCAAAAACACACTTAGAAGACTCCCAATTTGCCTACTAGCTCAATTTTCTGATATTTTATAGGAGGCATTCATGGAAAACGAAGAGTTGCTTTTAAAAGCACATTTCTCCATATGATCCAGCAATTCCTCTACTTGGTATTTACCCACAAGAAAAACGAGCCACAACACAAGAAGATATATGCACACCAATGTTCATAGCAGCACTATTTACAATAGCAAAAAGATGGAGACAGCCAAAGTGCCCATTAACTGAAGAATGGATAAACAAACTGTGGAATACACACAATGGTCTATTATGCTACCTTGAAGAATAACAAGGAAGCTGCAAGCTACCACATGGATGAACCTTGAGGACATTATGTTGAGTGAAATTAGTCAGTCACAAAAAGAGAAATACTGCATAGTACCACTACTGTAAAAGACTAAGAAAAAGAATCCATACTAAAGGGGGGTGGGGGGAATTCTTTGTTGATTGTTAGGAAGTTGGGGTTGGGTGAGGGGAGGGAGGGGGAGGTAGAGCACAGGGCAGGGATTACACACAGCAATGTTTGGGTGCTGGGGAGGGGGGAAATATACAAGAAGGGAGATGGGAATAGAAGAACAAAGCAGATGGGAGAACAATTAAGCATATTTGAATGGGCTAAGTGGGACAGAGGTAAAGAATGATGTATGCACAACCTTGGAACTACAGGGCTCTGGGATACAGAGATTGAGACATGGTTGGAATGGGGAAAAGGAGGGGAATAATGTTAAGATGCTTGGCTGTCTTTTGAATCTTGGTTTTCCTTGCATTATAATATGGACACTGGAGGGAGAGAGAAAGGAATAGTCAGAAACATCTCCATAGAAAGCTTGTAAGTCCATCTTCGGCCTATAACTGATTGGAACACCTAAAACGGGGCTACAACGTGCCCAGTGAAGGAGGCTTCCTGCGGAGCCTCTGAAATACATAGACTATAGGTAGAAGCCTGAACCATATCCAGATCTCCAGAGATGGGAAATTTCCACTTGAAAGGACCAGCAGACCAGCCTGGAATGGCTAGAAGAATAGAAGAAACTTCTTGAAAGATAGACCTACAGGAAAAATACAAAACAATAGAGGCAGACGAACTATTACTACAAGAGCAAACAAGTTGCTTGCCCAGGAAGTGGGTCCCCTCAGTGCAAACCCCCTTCCAAGACTAAGACTCAATGGGAATACACGCTCTGATTGGTGACCACGCTCGTCACCGATAAGGGGAAGTGAGGGAAAAACAACAATGAAGTGGCGAGCTAAGCCCTACAATATGGAGAGTGAAGCGTTCAGCTGATAAAAAGAGAGGGCATATGCACAAGAACACCCACACTTGCAGATAATACCCACTTGACCTGGCTTCAATGACTGGATGATCAGAGCTCAACCAGAAGAAGAAAGAAGAGGAAAAAAAGAGTAATCTGATGCAATTTGATGAACTTGACCTACACCTATGGAAGCAGTAGGTCAAAAGAGGGAACAAATTCTTACAGCAAGAATCATTCCCACCCCCTCCACACACAGAGTAGACAGGGATGGGCAACTTGGACACTGGCTACCCAAAATGGGGGGGTAGGGCTACAAAGGCAAGAAGTGACTGGCTTACAAGCTTTCAAGAGGGAACCTAGAGCCAGGGGGCCTGGAGGAAGGCAGAATCTCCAGTGAGTAGCATCTAATCTGCCTAGGCGGAGTTGATGAAATGAAATGCAGATGGGTCTCTTGTAATATAATAGTGAATAATTGTTATCAGGACTGATTGTGAAGGTTGGAAATGTAAAGGTAGACATTTTATAGCTAGGAAGGAAGTGATTAACTTTTCAGTCTAGGAGCAGAGGTCCCTAGGACCATCAACAGAGAATAGCCGAGAGCGGGACCCTACTCAGAGAAACAGTGATGCCTGAGATGGAGGCAGAGACAATGACATGGAGCGATGGAGCAGCCGGGGGCTTTAGATCCAGAGAGGGAGAGCGACTGTGTGCTGAAGACTGGGGGCGGAGGGGTCGGGGGTGGGATAGTGTAGGAGGCAGGCTTGATGATGCATGGAGGGGATTGGAACCATGGCAATGATACGATGTACGATAGAATGAGTGTAAAACTAATGTTCTCCCATGTAAACTATCATATAATTCACAATAAAACACTCATTTTGAGTGAAAAGTAAATGCTGAGAATTTCCTACCTGTTTAAATTAATTCCTTATGTGGCCCTGGGTTATATGGGCAAAGGGTTAAATTTCTATGTTTTATTTGCAGCAATATTATGCAGAAGGAAGGGTATGCATTACTATTCCTTTTTTATGAATATGGAAACTGAGGTCAAGAGTTGAGTGACTTCCTTAAGGCTTGTGTCTGAGACTCTAAATATAAGTCGAAAGCTCTTTGCAATAAAGAACAGCATTTGCCTTAACAGTAGATTCATTCAGTCATTAAAAAATATATACTGAGTACCTACTGTAAGCCAGGGAATCCTGGTGTGGTGCTGTAGGATAAAGCACTAGACTTCAAGGTTGGTTTGAATCACAAGGTCGGTGGTTCAAACTCACCAGCTGCTCCTTAGAAACCCTTTACAGGGTCACTGTGAGTCGGAACCAACTTGACAGCACTTAACAACAACAATAACTGTAAATCAGGTTGTGTTCCTGGTGTTGGAGATATACAGCAATGTCCCTGCTCTCGTAGAAATTATATTTTAGCAGGAAAGCCCCACAATAAATAAGCAGACAAATGGCAGAGAGTATTAAACTCCTTGAAACAAAATAGAGAGTGTAACAGGAACAGAGAGGACACCCGTTTTAGATAGGGTAGTCAATAAGGGCCTCTCTGAGAGATGAGATAGTTAAACAAATATGTCAATCAAATGTATTTTTGGCAGAAGGAACAAGTGCAAAGACCCAAGGAGGGAAGCAAGCTTGATGTCCTTGAGAGTCAGCAAGGACTTCAATATGGCTGAATCCTTAGGTGAGTCTTATTCACACACTGCCCCCTACTCTCCTTTCCCTACCCATGTTTCTTTTGTATACCTTGTTTTTGTACCTCTAGGTTTAGGTCCTTTGTCAGCTTTTCTACAGCAGCAAATTTCATTGTTCTACCTCCCTTTGGTATGAAGAGTCAGAGAACACCAATTGGCTTCCATTGGTCTTCCCTAGTTTCTAATTGGAAAAACCAATAATATAAGCAAAACATAAAGAGCTGAGTTCAAGGGGTTCAACAACCTCTACGTATTTCCTTTGAAGTCCATATAATAAATTGATTTTACATGGCCAGAAAGTGGGGTCTTCTGGGTAACAGAGAATTGTCTGAAACATGGATTCCTCGTTTTAAAAGACCAAGATAAAAATGAAAAGCCTCTAACAGCAACCTCGGTGTTATCTTTCTTCACTGACCCAGAAGGTACTTCAAATTCTTGCAACCTATCCTTAGGTACTGAACCGTGCATTCTCACTCATTTTGTTTCTGTCTCTGCAGGGCTGCTGTTTTCATGGGTATTTTTATTCAAATGCCAAGAAGTACCTGGACTAGGTCCTTCACTACAGATGCCCCCCTATGAGTACCAAAAGAAATCAGACTGAAAAGAAAAGAGGGTAATAATAATAACACTTGTTGTTGTTGTTAAGTGCCGTCAAGTCGGTTCTGACCCATAGCGACCCTGTACAAGGTTTCCGAGGGTGTAAATCTTTACGGGAGTAGAATGCCTCATCTTTCTCCCGCAGAGCTGCTGGTAGTTTTGAACTGCTGACCTTCAGGTTCGCAGCCCGATTCGTAACCACTACGCTACCAGAGCTCATACTTATTGAGCATCTATTAAGTTTTTATGTGCATTATGGCATTTAATTTTCACAATCCTATGAGGTACGGAGTAACATACCCATTTTATAGATGAGAAAGCCGAAGAACTGAAAGGTTAACTTGCCAGGGGTCACAAGGCAAGCATCTGACTAGCAACAGGAATAGATGTCAGATCTGCCTGACTAAGCCCCGAAGCAAAGATGAAGGAGCAATGCGTTTGATTCAAACTGGGAATCTAGTCTGAGACGTGCCTAAGCAAAGGGCAAGATTGAATCATAACAAGGGTGTTTTCCCTTTATGCCTTTTACAACTGTTGTCAGTCCTGGTTTTTTTTTTTTTTTAGAGGGGGGTCCTTTGTCTGAAATCCCCAGCCCACAAGTAATTTCTCCAAAGGAAGCTAAATCAGCAAATACAGAGAGGCAGCTTTAGACACCGCCATCCCCTTCTCACCATTCTGACTTAAGGGGCATTGTATTTTCAGAGTAACCAACTCAGAATTGGAGTCGTCTTCTCCTGGAATTCCATGTGCTTTCTATGGGATGATGCCTCCAACACCATTTAACAAGAACTGGCTGAAGAAAGCCCTTTACTTCTCTCCCCAGTGGATGGCCCCAAATCTAACCAGGCCACCATTTCCAGGGATTCACCCTGCTAACCTCTACTAGAGCGCAAAACAGACGCTGGAAGCCTAGATCTTTCATGGAATGACAGTAGATTCCAAGTCATTTCTCCATCCAAAAGGGCATTCTATGCAGCTGCTCCCAAAAGGTCTGGTGAGGCTCTTCTGGAGGCCAGGACATCAGCTCCCCAATGAACCACCTAGATCAAAGTGTGGCCCACCACGATCCTTCAGGGCCATTGAGTGAGCAAAAGAGGTGGCCTCTGGGAGCTCCGGCCACCCATGCCCCTGCCCACCATCACCATTACTCCCACCCACATCCATACCCTGGACAAGTCCCAAAGCTGGCACCCAGTTGACCAGTTCAGGCCAGGTCCTGGATCCCTGGCACGGAGTACTCACAGCACACACAGGCAGTACACCCCCAGGATGCTCTCGCTGTCCCTCAGCAAATAGCTGCCATCCAGACCCGCAGCGAGCAGGAGCTTTTCCCCGGTCTCGCGGCTAATTTTGCCATGATACACTGCCACTGCCTCCATGGCCTGGTGGACTCTCAGGCAGGCTGTGGCAGGGATAGGATAAAGGGAGATGTCACCAATGCTGAAGCCAGGCACTAGTCAGCCACCTGGCTCCGCCAGATGTGTGAAAAAGAAAGAACCCTCAAACAACAGGATGTTGTCGTCGTGCCCTAAAACTTTCTTCTCACACTTCAGTTAAAACCAACTCAGCAATTTAGTTACTTGCTTATTGTCACCAGAATGGCATACCCTCTCCTAACCCTAATCCTATGAAGAAGGGAAGAAAGTTCTGACAAGAAGATTTGGGATGCAATAGCAATGCAGACAGGAATGCTTGGAAATACTTCTGTTCTTGCAATTTTCTCAGAGGCTACCTGGGATGACTCCTGATGGGGCTCTGTGCGATCAGCACTGGACTTCGAGCCATAAGGTTGGCAGTTCAAACCCACCAGCTGCTCCTTAGAAACCCTATATAGGACCGTTATGAATCGGAACCAACTTGACGGCACTTAACAAAAACAACAACCTGGAATGACTCGGTTTAACTAGCCCTCAAAAGGATGGATGATGGAGGTAAATTGTATATGACCTTCATGTGGGGCAGTGACATACTGACAGTTAATGTTGTTGCTAAGTGTTGTTGAGTAGGTCCTGGCCCATAGCGACCCTGTATTGGGTTTCCGAGGAGCAGCTGGTAAGCATGAACCGCCAACCTTGCAGTTCAAATGGCTTTGAAGTCTGGCACAGTAACACATAGCACCACACCAGGAGTCCTACTGACAGTTAATAGAAGGCCTAAAAACTCTTGAGACCAAAACACCAGAACGATCAGTATTATCAGTGTGCCATTCAGTACTGAACATGGCCATGAGGAGAGGCAGTAGGTGAATGGTGGGCATTGGGTAAGCCCTCCTTCCATCCTCCTTTTTCTACCTTCATGTAGCCATCTTGAACTATCTTACTGTTGTTGTTAAGTGCCATCGAGTTGGTTCCAACTCATAGCGACCCTGTTTAGGGTTTCTGAGGAGCAGTTGGTGAGCTTGAACTGCCAGCCTCGCAGTTCAAACTGACCTTGCAGCCCAGCACATTAACCTACAGTGCCACACCAGGACTCCTAAGATACCTTGTTGTTGCTGTGAAGTGTCGTCGAGTGGGTTCTAACCCATAGCAACCCTGTATAGGGTTTCCATGAGTGACAGGTGAGCTTGAACTGCCAATCTTACTATAACTCAAAGCAGCTTTGCAGTCTGGCGCATTAACCCACAGCGCCACACCAGCACTCTTAGATCTGACCAAATGCTGTTTTATCACTACCATCTTTTCCAAGATTCCAAAGTATTGGCTGATTTTTATACACAATCACAGTCTGTATCCAAAGATGTTTCAGATTTATCTAATTGATGGACCATAGATGAGAAAATGAGTCATCTAATTGATACTCTGCCTTTATATGGACATATATATGTCCTCTGATTCAAAGGGCCCATCTTTCAGCACTCGGGGGCATAAAACCTGTTTTAAATCATTTTGCAAGTGTTGATAATTGTCTCATAATTTTCATCCTATTGTTTCTAGAGAATATATTTTCTTTCAATGATGCTAAACTGTCACTAATTTTTAAATATCTTTCAACTTCATTTCGTCCTCTGAAATTAAAAGCAGTGATCCTATTTTAAAATGTATTGTTAAGCAATATTTCTCCCAAACACCCTTCACTTTCACTCGAATAAGACTTTGTTTAATACCTAAAGCTGAATGGTCTTATACATGTGCCTTTGTTGTTGCTGCTGTTGTTGTTAAGTGCCACCAAGTCAGTTCCCACTCACAGTAACCCTGATAGGGTTTCTGAGGAGCAGCGGGTGGATTTGAACCACCAACCTTGTGGTTAATAGTCCAATGCTTATCCTACAGTGTCATACCAGAACTTCCACATGTAAAATACTTGGCAAGACTGGGAGTCCAATATGAGGAATTCTTTTTCCAATCATCATATTTCTTACCAATGGATCAGATGCACATAGTTGTTTTATGTCACAATCAGATATTTACACCCTACCCAAAATGCTAAGGAGCTCTGGTAGCACAGTGGTTACAAGTCGGACTGCTAACGTGAAGGTCAGCAGTTCGAAGCTACCAGCCGTTGCACAGGAAAAAGATGTAGCTTTCTGTTCCCATAAATATCTATAGCCTTGGAAACCCTATGCTGGGTCGCTATGAGTCAGAATTGACTCCGCAGCACATAACCACCCAAAATGCTTAAGAGCAAACCTACAAGGTAAAAAACGCAAATAGTATCAACTCTTTTCCTTGATTGGAGAGTGGCCAGTCTTAATAATAGCTAACGTAGAATCTATCAACTTTCATGTTGAACCTAGAATATTTATATAAACATAAACCCCCTGCAGTCATTTTCAATGCCAAGAATGAAAAAAATAAAAATAAAACAGCATTCAAGATGACATTTGGGGATGGCTCTTGGTAACAAGGCAAAGGTTGACTCATCTTGTTACCTCACTTGGATTTTACCCTACACTACCTCTCACCTTTTTTCATGTTTTGGGACAAAGAAGAAGACATTGACCTGAAAAAATAACAAATACTCGGGTGTTAAGGACTGAGAAGTGAGCCCTCCCTGGGCTCTTTACATACTGAAAGGGTAAGTGGTTAACCTAGAGAAATGAATCGCAATAGTGGAATCTCAAACAAAGAAGATAGGGAAGGAGATCCCCTTATGTCAGTTTGTATGGGCAACAGCTTACCTGTGAGGAGAACTGTGAGAACATTCAGTAGCACATAGGTAAAAACAAAACAAAAACAAAACTTAACCTTCTTTTGTCTCTGAACAACCCTGAGCAAATAACACACCAACTTAGGAACAGAGCAACCTAGATCTGACTGCAAAAGCATACTGTGCATTTTTCTTTTCTTTCTCTGTTTTGTTCTGTGTTGCTAAAATAGCACACCTGTCAAAACAGCCAAGTCTGATGGGGGTGAACACAACTAAGATCGTATAAAAAAAAGTACAGATAAATTATTAGGTAATAGTACAACTTTCACATCCAGTACCTCATTGTCATCGCACAAGCAAACTGACAGCAGAGCCAGCCCACTACTGCACTATTGATGAAAAATACTGACATCTTCCCTCTAGTGCTACAGAGATACTAAACCTGACTTTAGCAGATGCAAAGCTTCACACTGAGCTTGAAATGTATCGAAAAGAGGGATTGAAATGGTTCCCTTCCTTCTTTCTCTACACACACACAAGAAGGGGGGTGTGTGGTGAGAAAACAGAGCAATGGAGACAGTGGAGACTCCAATTGAAACAGTTGGGAATAATTCTGCTCATTTGGAAGGAGAAGTTTCTGTCTCTCCCACTAGAAAGTAAGGTCCACGAAACATGACTTCCTGTGTCTTGTTCACTACTGCATCCCCAGTACCTGGTATATGTCATTGCTATTGTTAGTTGTCATCAAGTCAAGAATATTTGTGAAATGAATGCTCTCAAGAAATTAAACAAAGAATTTCTGAAATGCTATTTTACACACAAAAACACACACCAAACCAAACTTGTTGTCGTGGAGTTGATTCCAACTCATTGTTGTTGTCAGGTGCCATCGAGT